AGCAGGAATTGCCAACTTCAGCACACCCAGGCAGTGCTGGGGAGACATTCGCACCACTCGGTGGGTTTCTAAGGCTCCCTGATATCAAGAGCACCATGAGTTGATACCTCTACTACAAGCTGCCATCAGGAACATTGAAAGAATGAATGGATAAAGCAGCAGTCAGTAACACACAGGAAGATTCCTCATCTTTAAAATTTTTTTTTTTTTAAATCAAACCAAAAGGCCCACTTAATTCCACAGCAGAGCACAATCTCTCATCTTGAACTGCCATAAAATAATAATAAATTATTCAAAATCATTAGGAAATCCCTGTCATGGAAAAGCTAGCTATGGAAACACACAGGGAGGAAGGGGGAAAAAAAAAGCAGCCAGTGGTTGCAGGTACTCTGTTATTTATTGTACAGTATCTCACTGAAAGTACAAAGGCATCATCAGTATTCACCAGAATTGTACTGTAACAGGTACATTATATTGTGTGTTAAAATGTGCTACTTCAACAATGCAAGACAGAACACAAAATTTAGAGGAAGAAAGCAAGGAGTTTCAAAAAAATGTAAAAATACATTTTTAGTAACTGATCTGTACAAAGAAAAAAAAAAAAGAAACCAAACCAGAGCGTGGGGATTAGAGCCCCCAAAGTCATTTAAAACGATATGAAAAGGCACTGTTATCTACCGTGTCATTAGGACCTTTGGGTTCCGTTTCCTTCATACTGATGACTGTGGGGGTGGGGGAAATACTGTTACTAAAATGATCAGACTCATACAAAAGTATTTACAAAGAAAGGCAGAAAAAATTCCCCTACTCTTGTTCCAAAAGAGAAACATTTGCCTGGTTGGAGAGTTCAGCCTTCCACCCTCTCGCCCAAACCGTGCCAAAGCAGTGACCTTGAAGAGGGGAAAGCAAATAGTGATCCGGTGGGAGAAGCTGCCAGAGTCCTTCTAACAATGGGAAAGTGCCTCTGTCTTTTCTGTTTTATGGAGCTGCAAAATAAAACAAAAACCCTAAAACCCATGTGACAACCCCAAACCATCTGAGTCATCCTGGCTGCAGGAAGATGGGACAGGTGGTCAGGACAAAACGGAGAGGATCAAGAGGTAGGGCCGGCTGGAGCTTTCTTTTCTAGAGAAGGGGGGAACAGATGGGGAGAACAACGCTTCAAACTACCAGACATTTGTGCTGCTTTTCTAAATCTTCCCCTGGGGGCCTGACAGCGGTGCCTGTCAGCAGAAGCAAACCCAGGGCACACAAACCCACCAGCCGAAGCATCGGACGGCAGCCGCGGGACGTCCCCGGGACGCCTACACGTGGGCGCTCTTCGCGTGGGTGGGGGAGCTGGATCCCGAGGCGTAGTAGAAACGGTTCTCACCGAACGTCTGGGCATCTCCTGAGCAGCAGACGATGACGCAGCCGCCAAAGAGGCAGAGGGCAGAGCCGATCCAGCCCGTGTAGAGGGAGTAGCCAAAGCTCATGATGGGGGT